TCTCTCTCTCTCTCTCTGAGTGCTGAAAATGCAATTCTTCGAGCTGTTTTGAAATGATTTATTATACTTCATCAGAATATGATTAATTTCGATATACTACAGCTTTTCAGTTTCGTTGTTTAGCTATTAGTTTTTGTTGTAATTTCTGAGCTGATTTCTCTCTCAATTTTTTAAATCTTATTTGAAGATTTTTATGAGTTCTTCTAATTATTTTTTGTTGAAGAAATTGCTTTTCACATGTTGATTTTGTTGAAGAAATTGATTTTCAATTTTTTTCCCCGAGCTTATGTTTGTATGTAAATAGAGCATGAAATTGTTTTGTAAAATATGTGGAAAATCAAATAGTTTGAGCTGTTTTTCCGAAGTAAATCCGAATGAATTAGCTGTTAGACATGAATTTTTGTCGCAATAATTTGTGGAAATTGCTTTCTAGTTTCTATGCTTGATTTGTCAAACTGGATTTTCGTCTGTTGCGCTTACCATAATTTGTTGAAATCAAAGAGTAAGCGTAGATCTGTGAAGAACTAAGAAGATTCTGATTTAATCCACTAAATTTTTGAATTCGCAAACATGTTTATCAATTAATCACGTGTTTTATAAGACCTTTGATTTTTGCTCTAAATACTGATTTTTCTGGCTGCTTCTTTATTGTCTCAACGAAAAGGTCAAAAATCCCTCGCCTGCGTATCTCCGCCTCACTATTCCTTTAGTCATTTGTCCAGATCTGTAAAAAAATTCTTCACATAGCTCGTATAATTTTTAAATTACCAGTATCTTAATTTCAATTAGCTAATTCAGAGTTCAGATCTATAAATTTTTTTATGAAGCTCATAAAAATCCTTTTTTTCCAAAGCAGGTTTTTTTCTCACAGTAATTTCCGTAAATCTCTGTTATTTTAGATCCATAAAATTTGTCTATGAGCTCAAACTTAAAATTCCTTTTTTTCTGTAGCAGGTGGTTTTTTGAATTTAGATCTAATTATTATCAAGCTAAAGAGAGATGAATCACTGCGCAATTCAACAAGGTGCTTTCGCCGCTTGTGAAGATATGTGGAGTTCAATTTCTGATAATAAAAAGGAAGCCGTTGTTTGCCCTAAGCCTCGGCGTCTCGGCCTTTTGAACGCTACTGTAAATGAACCTTTCAAACCTCTCAGATGGCATGTTAGGTAACATTTCCTTTGCTTTTAGTACTTAAAAATGATTTTAAAAAGTCTTGTGTAGCTTTCTTTTTTAACTAAAAACTTTTTAATTTTTGGTTTCAACAGCCATCAGCAAGAGTTGTGTGATTCAAGAGCTGGAGCTGATCTATTGGATATCATCCTCGCAAAGGTGAGTTCGTTTAGTGCTTTTCAATTATTTGTGTAATAATAAAATATATAGAGTTGGATCAAGATTTGAACTTTATAGGCTATGTCACTATTGGGTCAAAATTTAATATTTCTACATAGTTGGTAGATTTCTTATATGTAAAGGATGAGCAAAAGTTATTTGGTTCGGTTTAACCCATAGCTTATACTGTTCATCTTTGTTGTTCATGTGGAGTCCATCTATTTGACAAAAGTGAAGTATCAAAATAAGGTTTTTTGGTAAAATGAATGAAGAACCTTTGTGGACATATTGAGAAGGGCTTTTGTCGAAGTGTGGGCACCATGTAGTTGTCAGTGTAAGGTGTTAGGTTGGGAAGTTCATCTTATTGTATAATTGAGTGGCTTAGAATGAATTTACATGTCTTATTAATTGGATTAACGTCTATATCTAGTCATCTGATGTATATGTGCTGATTATTGGTTTTGAATGTTGTTACAGGGTGGTGGTGCGGATCAATCATCTGCGCAGGTAGCCTCGTCGCCCCCATTTTTTTGTGGGTCACCGCCGAGCAGAGTATCTAACCCGTTAATTCAAGATGCACGATTTGGGGATGAGAAGTTCATGACCCCAGTTTCACCGCGGGCAATTCCCATACCTTCCGGACTGGCTGCTTCGTCCCCATCTGCATCCGCCAGGAAACATGGCGGATGTGTGAGGGCGAATTTTGGCAACAATCCGGCTGTTAGAGTTGAGGGTTTCGATTGCCTCGACAGGGATCGCCGCAACTGTAGCATCCCTGCCCTGGCTTGATTGAACTCTTAAAAGTAAATATAGAGGTAATTTGAAGTTACACGAAGGAGAGTAATTCACTTTTGGTTTAGCAGCAGCAGGAGAAAAAGGTCCCTTTTGCCTAGTGTAAATATGTTTAAAAGGGTCTATATGTAGTGGTGTCTTGTTGTCTGTAAGTAAATGAGAGTGTTGTTATTAACCGAAGTAAATAATTATGAGAGAAAATTAGGAGTATTTAGGTGAGGGTGGGGGTCATGAGGGAAAAAGCCCTCTTGCAATGGGTGTAAAGTATGAGGTTAGACTTGGAGGAAATTTGTATTGGAATTTGTAACCATTTTGGGGTCGTTTTTGTGAAATGTCAATATGGGCGGCTTTGATGATGAAGAGATTTTGTTTTGAAAAAAGGAAAAACCTTTTAGTTGAGTGGAGTCATCGTTGTAGTCAATTCACTTTTGTAAATATATGAAATATAAATATCGATTACGGTTATGAATTATTATTATTTCTGTTTGCATCATTGCGGTGATTCTTTTTACATCATTTTCCTTTCGTTAGTTGCATGTTGTGGTGTGAAATGTGAATGATGATGCTTTGCTTGTTTGCTACGCGAAGGCTGGTTATTAATTGGTCGGAGAGGTAGTGTGGGACTTCTTTCTTTACATAAAAGATAAGGAGAGAAAATTATTTTTAGTTTTATGACCTTACTTTTTCTTTATACATCAGATTTATTATTACACATAGAAAATTTATTTTTACATATAAGAGATCTAAAAAGATTATTTTTTAAAATTATAAAATTATAAAGTAGTATAATACACAAATAGCACGAAAAAACTATAACATGAAAGGATTGATTCTTTTTGTTTTTTCCTTTTTCCGAATAGGCACTTGGTGTTGAATTTTGATATGTTAATTTAATAAAATTTATTCCAGTTTCAGATTTGATTAAATCCCGAAAGGTATGTACTTGGACCATACTAAATAAGGATCATAAAATATCATGAATCCAGCTCCTACTCAAATTAGAAAAGAAAAAGGTGCATATATTTTCACTAAATTATTGAGGGAACATAAGTAAAAGTGAAAAAGAAGCATAAAAAGTGAAATTCGTTGATAATAAAAGGTGAAATTCTTCTTCTTAGTGAGCTGGTTATTGGGTAAAAATCCCCAAAAAGTAAATGTGGGGATAAAAACTTTGCTTTAAGCATTGATCCTTGCGATTACAGTTGGTGATTGAAACTTCCAAGATTAATATTATGCTTTTAAAAAAGGTGTAATTTTGTGGCATTGAAGTCAAAAGACAAAGCAGGTATGTGTTTACATAGGAATTTCAAACAAAAGCAATAGAAAGTCAAATGGGATGGGGAGTTGGGTTTTGTGAAGTTGTTGCGTTACAACTACTAATAATAAATCATCAAGTTGACCAGTTCCTCAAAAGACAAAAAAGAATTATGGCATCACAACATTAGGCAACAGCTGCACGTTTGAACAAAGAAAAACTAAATTAAGTGTATGATTAGCAATTCTATTAAGGGACAAAAAAAATATGCTCAGAATGTAGTTCATACCAAATTGAGCTAATTTATTATGATTAAGTAATAAGTTATAACGTGTATATATAAAGGCAGTCTCGCGAGTGACGGATCAAGCATTTTAAGGTAATGGATGCTCACTTTTAATTAGTGCTAGCAAATGATGGGAGGAGTAGGATTGATATTGACAAATTGAATACATTTTAGACAATAAGGAAAAAAATTTCGAACTACTCATATTTAATACGGATAAAACACAGATTGAATGACGAAAAATATGAATATTCATATTTTCTTGAATATTATCATTATTGTGAGAATTCCAAACAACGATATAGGCCGTCAAATTTGATGGTGGTATATTGAATATATATATTTTTTTGTGCCACGATTAACTAAATGAATTGAAGAAAGAAAAAATGACAAAGTTAAGAACCAAAGGGAAATGAAAAAGAAAGTCAAAGACTGCACTACCTAAGATTCGGACTCCGAATCACGTAAAGCGCATACTTAGATTCCATTAACCAGTAGTACCCACCAGTCTGTTTGAGTAATGGGTGCTCGCCTAAATATATATCAATTTCATGCAAAATTATCTATAAAATTATATGTTGAATACCATGGGCAATGGGTGCTCGAGCACCACAATTCTCTATGTGGATCCGCCCATGAGTCTTACGGATAAAACATCACATATTCACACAAGGTTTGATTAAGAGACGCAACCCAGGGGTGTGATCACATGCGGATCCAAGATTTTAAGAGAATAAGTACATTATTATGAAGAGATTGATCTAGAATGCATATTTGACAGGTTTAACTTGAGGCTCTTATTATGAACCCATTGTACTTTTAAAATTATAGGTTCAAAATTATATACTTTTCAAAAAAATTTAGTAATTTTTACATATATATTTATACTCCTTGTCGAAAACAAGACTGTCCGGAATTGAATTTGAACCGATAATTTCACTTGTAGAGGTATGTCCAATAATTATTGCACCATAGAAGTATGGATTCACGTGAACTCATATCTCTTAACCTAGTGCCCATATATATATATATATATGCATGTTTTCCTATTTTATTTTTTTGTTTTGTTTTTTTGGTTCTTTTTTCTCTGTTTCTTTTTCGTTTAGGTTTTGTCCTAAGAAAAAGACTATTTATACCTTGGGTTGAATTTGCGTAAATTATGCAACAAATTGCTACATATGACGTGTAAAGTCTTTTCTACAAACATTTTGATTTTGTTTCTTCTTCCCCTTAGTTTTTCAAATTCAACTTTGCTATTTATATTCCTGGATAAAGTTCTAAATTCTTTCTTCTTTTATTCTCTTTGTTGGAGTTACCCGCCAAAATCTTTTGATTGTTCCGATCATGCACTAGGTTTGATAGTGATTGTTTTGGACTGTCTCATGTGATGTATATACTAGAATTATTTAGCAATTAATGACTTAAATAATCTTGCTTTTCAAGTGCTTATTATAGCCAATTAGGACTCGTCATACCAAATACACGGAAATTTGAGTGAGATAAACGAAAAGCCAATACCAAAAATATAAGTCAAAGTTGGTCAACTTCTTTTTATCTCCATCACCCACCCCTTTTTTCTATTACTAGTTTTAATTTACGTGCGTGGTACGTGTGCATTGCGTCAACCAATATAAAATTTATACAAATTATTGAAAAATAGCAACGGAGGTTAAACTAAACGCATCATGTGTTTAAATGATGAAAATAAATACTACCCCCTCCGTTTCAAATTAGACGAGATACCTTCCTTTTTAGTATGTTCCAAAATAAATGACACATTTCTAAATTTGGAAATAATTCAACTTTAAACTCTTCATTTTACCCATTTTACCCTTAATGAGATGCTTTTATAACCACAAAAGTATTATGGCCCCACAAACCTTTTACCCCTTAAGCTTTTAAGACCAAAGTTTCAAAAGTCTTCTTTTTTTCTTAAACTCTGTGCCGAGTCAAACTACCTCATCTAAATTAAAACGGAGGGAGTATTACATTGACACAATATAGTTGAATTTAATATTTTCTAAATAAATTTAGTGCAATTAGTGATTTAGTTCTATAGTGTTTATAGTTATAAATATTATATTATATAAGATGCAAATATGCTATGTTATTGTATCTCACCTAGCATTTTTTTATTACGTTCATATATCATTATACAAGATTCAAAGTTAATCAAAATTATAGTTAAGCTAAGTTGACTTCTTTTTGTGTAAAAAGGTTATCTAGATCCTTATTAATACAAGTCTAAAATTCATGTTTTGCACGTTCATCTAACACCAAATAAAAATTAATACTATCCGAAACTCACTCCAAATAAACTCTGCCTATAACGACTTTGAAATTTCAAGAGTTCACCACTTTGAGGTCAATTTTGTAAAATTATAGGGAAAAAATTAAAAATTTATAGTTATTTGAAGAGTTTCAAATACATTGATTTATCTTAAATTTGAAAAACTAACTGTAGTTACAATTTCACATTGTAGGGTTGTAGCTTAATTTAATTTTTAAATTAATGTCATATTAGTTTAAACTTCTAGAAATTTAAACATAAGATTAAATCAAAACTCTTAAAAAGTTAACAGGAAAATAGTGAACAATGTGCATTGATGATGGATGATCCATATTTATAGGTAATCAATTATCAGTAATTTGTGAAAAAAAATAATACTATATACTTTAGAGGCTAAGAATTAAAAGAACTTTAATGGCCAAGTATTAAACTCCAAAAGGAAACTTATAAAATCTAGTCAAATAAGGAAAGATAATAAGGTTAATTTTAATTGAATTTGAAGTCCTAAATATTAAGATTTTCTTAAATTAAATTTTAATTGATTTTGAAATCCTAAATATTCTAGTGTGAAATCAACTTTTAAAGGGTAAAAAAGACGAATGACATTTCAATAGGGCCTTCGTGCTTTTAATATGTTATAAATTTAGTTCTATCTAAAATACGTATCATTTAAAGTTTTGACAAATCTATCAGAAAAGTTATTTATAATGTTAATCATAAAAGTTATTTACTTAAATTATCTTTTATCTCTCCACAAACATTTGAGAAAATTACATAGATCATTTATTGAAGTAAGAACAAAATTTAAAAATAAAAATACTTAATGCCTTTTTTATTTCTTAAAGCAATATTTATTTAGGACCAAACTAGTTTGGCTAAAACTAAACTTATTTTTAACTGAAGGAGTACATGCTACCCACCTTTCTTTTTTCTTTGCAATGCATTTGTTTTAGTAACATAAAAATATATGAAGGTTAATGTTATAGAAGCTCAATTCTACCTCCCAACTACCATAAGAATAAATTATCAAAATACAAAATGTTTATGCTATCAAAATGTTGTTGTGAACTAATAGTCCATTGGATTGCAGATACTATTATTAGTTGGATTATAAGCTGCATGAGCTATCTCTTCAACTTAATATGCAAGTCTTTAGTTTGAGCTATTTTGTTCGACCTATAAAAAGTGATATCAGAGAAAATAAATAAACACTTGCAACTGAATTCAAAGAGTGGATCGATAGAGTAGTAGGAGTGATACTAGACCCAACAATAATATTATTCGTGATTAATTAGGCCGAAAAAGGAAATAAAATGTAAGTTGTGACCTACTGGGCTAGAGAGTGTCATGAGTGATGATCTAAATAAAAAAAAGTGATGCTAGTTGTAATCAACGAGATGGTTGAATCTCAAACGGGGGAAACTCTTTTGAATTGATTGTCCCTATTGATTGCAAATACTGTTAGTCATGGTTTATATGTTGTATGAACTCTTTTACCTAATAGACTAGTTTTTTTGGTTAAGTTCTATAAAAAAGCATGACAATCAAATAAGCGGGGGCAATACTTGTTGAACTTTATGTTCTGCCCATGAGGCAAGCGTGATAAAAAAAAATCAAGAATAACACTTGAAATGTCGTATTTGTGCA